AGAGAGAGAGAGAGAGAGAGAGAGAGAGAGAGAGAGAGAGAGAGAGAGAGAGAGAGAGAGAGAGAGAGAGAGAGAGAGAGAGAGAGCAACAGTGGGAGAAAAAAGGAAGAGGGAGAGAGAGAGTGTGGGGGGATCGAGAGAAAGAGCCAGAAAGGGAGAGAGAAGAGAGAGGGAGAAAGGGGGAAGACAGGGAGACAGGCTAAACACAGAAACTGATCTAACGGAAATTGCAGCGATAGCGGAGAAAACAAGAGAGGAAGTAAGAGGAGAAGATGACGATGAAAAAAACCCAGAGGGTCTACCGAAGGGTCGAATCGACGCACCTCTTTCGAGGCGCCATGAGACAGCACGCGGAAAGGGCTCTGAGTGGAGGATACAAGACAGGGGATAAGGGTAATGGAGGGGCTGAAAGGAGGAAAGAGAAAGGGGCGGTTGATCCGGAAGAGCTACTGAGGGGGGTCAGAGAACAGAGGGAGAAGGAACATGTGAACCAACATACACAATCTCATCTAACTCCGGGCTTGTCGTGGGCAGACAAGGTCAAACAAACGCCAGCGAAGAACCTGATCTCTGTCTCGATTACAAGAACACCTGACGGTGCAAAAAGAGCAGAGGAATGGAAAATCCCCTTGGACAACATCTCCTCGGCCAGAGCCTTTTTCCTCTCGCACCTGCTAACGCGTTCTGAGCAAAAAGTGCACAACCAAGGGGGTCAAACAACAGTCATTCGGGCACTCCCGGTAGCAAAAGTCCAGGAGATACAGGAGCTCTACCTTAAACATGCGAGCAACTGGGTCTTCTACGATGACGTGGCGTACAAGACAACCAATGACAAAATCCTGTGGATCAGAAAACAACTGGCATGCCTAGATGGCGGATGGGAATGTGCACAGGATGCCTTTCTAATCCAGCCTGTCTCCTCAACCATTTTCACGATACTCAGCATGCACAAGGCTGACAAGAGACAGATGGACAGATGGCGTTCCATTCGTTGCGATAGATCCGAAGTCGGGATTTACCCCTGGTCCCCCCTGAGAAAACAGAAACCAGAGGAAAAAAGGGACAAAATGATGGCCGATCACTTTTGGGTAGAGTTCAGACACATCCCCATCGAAGTGCAAGCGGCCTTTGTACAAGAGTTCGGAGAGAAGTATGAGATAGTTGACTTCATCGATCCCCTGCCACCGCATGTGGGAAAACGCGACGACTATCTCATGCTCGCTCTACATCTACCTGAGGGTCAGCCTTTCTCCATCGATGATGTCATCCCCTATCGAATCGGGGACAAGGAAATCTGTGTACACAAGACTCATAAATTTAGACCGTGGTGTTTCAAGTGCCAAGTCTACGGCCATTTATTCTTAGACACAGCGTGCCCATCGCACCCGGTTAACCAGTCCAAAAGTACCGGGAGGCTAATAAGGGACCCTTTCCGCAGCTCCCACTGGCGCACGGTAGACCCGGGGTATGAGGGGTGGGTCTACAGGGTCATCAATGAGAAGGAGGGGGACGGAGGAGGATGGTTGTGGGAGGGTAAGGGTGAACCTGATCAGAGCACCAAGCCCCCAGAGACATGGACCCCCCCAAAAACAACTGAGGCCCATGCAAAGAACAAGGGACGAAACGAGGAGGAGCATAGAAGGAATGGGCAGAACAAAAAAGCAGGAAATGGGGCAGGGACATCAATGGACGGCACAAGCGGGGAGCAAACTGGACAAGGGAAAAGGATGGGATGCGAAAAAGGCAAAGGGACAGACAAGGCAACCAACTCTGAAAACAATTCGCCCCCCTCGGCCAGATCAGGGATGAAGAGAAAGGGCAACAGATGGATCAAGAAGGAACAGAAGGGGAAGGGGGAGGCAGCCAAAAAAAAGGGGAGGAGGCTCTGCAAATGGATAAGTTCAAAAACAAAGACAAATCGGAAGAAAGCTCTAAGGACCCCTACTGTAACCTACAGGCTGAACACCTGCAGATTGAAAGGATTGAAAATGCTCCCCTCCCCCCGGTCGATCTGGTCATTAAAACTCAACCAGTGGTGGAAATGAGATTGGAAATTGTAGCTGACTGGATCATCCACCACCTGTGGACACAACACCCGCAAGCATCCAAAGATTTCTGGGCAAACGCCAAAGACCAGCTGCGCACAATTATGAAAGGAAGCCCCACGCTCGAGCGGATTATGGTAGCAACGGCAACGGAACCTAAGGCATGGACGGATACCCTCAATCAAATCTACTGCAAGACCCTACCCTTCTTTCAGCCCCCGAACAAGGAAGATGAGCAGGCAAAAAAAGGAACATATCTGCAACCGGGACCGGGAGTCAATGGAGAGGTGGCGCAAGGGGCGTTAGAGGTCAAGAAGGGCCCGGGGGACACTGAAAGGATAGACGAAGGAAATGAGAACAAAGGAGGAAGGAATGAGGGACAAAACTTTCCACAAGTACAGCAGGACAGACACGCAAAGGATGCACCCGATCCCTTGTGTGAGGCATTCGGTCTTGAACCGATGGATCTCGAAATACCTGCTGCACCAGAGGGGGGGAACAGCCAAACGCAAGAAGACCCCGATGCCCCCCGAGGGGACTAGACATAGAGAACAAACTCCAATCTGTAGCAGACTGGGTCATCACACATCTAAAGGCACGATGTACTGAGGACGGCCAATTAAGGGGGACGGAGGAATTATGGGACAGAACTTACGTGGAGTTATTTGGCCTATTGGACAAAAGCCCCACACTAAGGGATGCCTTAGAGAATGGCCCACCAATGTACCGTACATAGAAAGAGGTCTATCAAAGGATCTTGCATATTTCTTTATCCCAATTCCAGCTGCCACCGGAACCTCCAGACCCTCCCCCCCCCCCCCCCCTGTCTACCCCCCCTCCCTCTTCGCCCCCTCTTCCAACCCCCTCCTCTTCCTCATCACAGACAACAGCACAAGTGAAGGATATGGAGGAAGAGGCAACCCCCCTTCAAGATCAAGGGAGAAATGATGATGAGGAGGAGGAAAGACAAAAAGAGGAAGAAGAAGGAAATAAGGAACTAATATCACGTAGACTAAGAGTGCGGCAGGCAGTGGAGAAGGGGCTACATGAAAAAGCCCTCATAGCACGGGAGGGGGTGGCCCTAATTCCTTTGCGTAGGAGGGGTGGAAAATGGGAATTAGGTTTGAAACCTGCAGGTATCGGGGATAAGCACGGAAGTGTAACCCTACCAGGTTTTGAGTTACTCAATATATGGACCAGTGTCGGTTCACGTGACCTCATGTTTTGGCGACGAGTGAAAGATTTCCTTAAGGAACAGTACGGAGCAGGGGTCCAGGCTACATTGCAACTAGGAAGGGAGTACCCCCAGATTGCAGGTATCGATGTATACCTCAAGTTTGATGACAACAAAGATTATGGCCTCCAGTGGTTCGGAATAAATCAGCTTTTGGATCTGCAGCTATTTAAACTAAAAGGCAACACTACCTGGTCTGACGGAGACCTCGCAGTCTGTATTACAACGATTGCGAGAAAGGGGGTACTCACGGAAATCAACTGGGATCAACTAAATGGACGCCAGTCTGAAAGAATTGGTGACATTATAAATGGAGGAGATCAACATTTTATATGGTCAGAGTCCGACGTGGAAACATTTCATAAAAAACACAGACCTAGATCTGCTCTCCATCAACGTAAACGGCCTGGCCTCATTTAATCCAACTAAGGTACAGGTCATCTGGGATCAGCTGCGAGGGGTCGCAGGGAGGGCGTGGCTGGATGTGATATGTATCCAAGAGACGCATCTCATGGATAAGCTGGAGCACCACAGAGCTCACAAAACGGCCTGGCCGCATCAGCGGTACTGCGCGCACGCCCCATCACAGACATCGGGTGGAGTAGCTATCTGGGTCCCACCGGACTCCAGAATGGAGGTGGTTCACTGGACGGCAGACGAGGAAGAAGGGAGGTGGGTGGTGTTATTGGGAATGCTCGAGCTGGAAATAATATGCGTAGCCTGTGTATACGCCCCCAATACGGTACCAGAAAGGAAGGAATTTTTTCAAAAACTCAAAGACCGGATGCCGGAGGGCATACCCCTGATTATAGCAGGGGATTTTAATGCTGCCCCTGATAGGTGGCTAGACAGATGGAGCACACTCACCCCTCCGCCTCATTACACAGAAGAGGACGAAAACATGCTTCGGGACCTCTCTGCATCTCTCAATTTGTTTGACACATTTCGATGTATTCACCCAACGGAGCAGTCCTTCACCTGCATCCGCACATCGGATCCCGCACGCCAATCTAAATCCCGCATAGATCTTATTTTGATGCCTGATGACATAAAAGGATCATTACAAACTGCAGTAATCCTTCCAAAGAGCCCTCAGCCGGGGTTAGACCACAAAACGTGTGGGACCTTACTGTCTTTCAGGAAAAGACCGGACCAAGGACCAGGCTTCTACAAAATGAATACCTCCCTTATAAAAACATCAGAGTTTTCGGAGATGATAAACGAGACTTGGGAACAATGGCGATCCTTCCAACATCAATTTGACTCAGAAATACAGTGGTTCAATAACGGCCTATTCTTCCTAGGGCGAAAATGCAATGAGTACTCTAAGCTGATCGCAAAAAGACGCAACTTTCAGGAAATGGAGCTTCACAAACAACTTCACACCTTGGAAAGCCAAGGAACTTCGGATGAACCTAGCAATACCATTCAAGAGTTGCAGGAGCGACTGCTGCAGCACGCTCAATATAGATGGCAAGGAGCTAAAATCAGAGGGAAACTCACTAAATGGACATCCGAAGGAACCATTGACACACGTTTTTTTGGCATAGCTAAAGCAAAAGCACACCGTAACACTGTTGAAGCCTTTCTTAACCATGACAATGACCATGACGTGGCCACAACCACGGCACACTGCACAAGTATTGCGCGTTCCTTCTTCACGCAACTTTTCTCCTCACAGATAACAAATCCCCTTGAGGAAGGGCACCAAAAGGAGCTGAAGGATTTCCTTGGCCCATTGGATAAAAGTCTTAGCCCTCAACAGAAAGAACAACTGGAACAGCCTATTACGCAAGAGGAAATATGGACGGCCCTCCTCCAGATGGACGAGGACAGAACCCCAGGGATGGACGGTTTTCCCAAAGAATTTTGGGAAACAATGTGGCCGACCCTACACCAGGATCTGATGAGCTACTACAAGGCGGTGTGAGACACAGGATAGATAGGCGAATGTGTGCGTCAGGGGGTTTTGTCTCTCCTATACAAAAAATGAGATAAAATGAACATCAGAAACTACCGACCCATCACCTTGCTAACGGTCGTTTACAAAATGCTTGCAAAAGCCCTTGCAAATCGACTGCTTGAGGTTATGGAGGATATTATTCACCCGGCCCAATCAGGATTCATAAGGTCCAGAAACATCCAGAAAAACATACTCCTAGTCAATGAGATGATTCACCTGGCGCAGCAGTCTAAACAGAACGCGGCCTTCATCTTCATTGACTCCGAGAAAGCCTATGACCATGTGGACTGGACCTTCCTTGATGCATGCCTACAGAAAATGAATTTTGGGCCCAATCTGAGAAGATGGGTTCATATCCTCCACCACAGCGCCACGACACGGGTACAAATAGACGGAAACTTAGCACCCGCAATCACCCTGCAGCGCTTGGTTAGACAAGGGGACCCCATTGCCCCCTTTCTTTTTGTAATAATTATGGAAGCGTTGTCGGCCAATCTATGGCAGAACAAGGACATCCGAAAAATTAAGATTGCAAACATCCCAGATGAAGCCATCCCGGTATGCTCTCTCTTCGCCGACGATCTCACAATAATGACCGACGCCTTGGAAGGAAACATGAAAGAGATATAGAGGATGATGGACCGTTTTTGCAAACTGTCTGATATGGCGATCAACTGGGGGACCAAAACAGTGGGATGGTGGATGCACCACCAAGGGGGACGATCGTCTGAAGCTCCTCTCATTAAATGGCTCCCCTTGGAAGCCAAGGTGAGAGTGTTAGGCGTCCAACTGACAGCGACTGGAAAGCCATCCATGAATGATGTATGGGTCCAGACGCCCGCTCAAAACAAGATGACCGAATAGAACCAGAAACACACCTCGATTTTTGGGAGGACATTCGTCATCAATAATGTAGTTATGGCATCACTCTGGTACAAATCACTCATTTGGCCTCTAAGTGTAGCAGCCATGAAGGCGTTCAAGAAGCAAGCAGCAGCCTTTCTGTGGAGAGGAGATAGCGGGACGGAACACGCCATCAGTAGGGTGGCATGGGAT